ATTCCGAAATATCCCCTGCCAAATGGGATTCCTGTGGTGAGCAAACTTTTGTATGAGATTCTCCGACGAGCAGCGGATTGACCCCAATTTGTACGAGCGGTAAAGAGTTGACAAGACAGACAATGGCGTATGAGTGATTGAACAACGGGAAGTGGTTAGTTGATTTACGAAAGATCAAACAACACGTAGAGGTTACTCAATCAACCGATGATCAGATAACGTGCAAAACTTGCTCGTGCAACCAATGATCAAACAACGCATAGGGATTACTCGATCATCCAGTGATCATAAAGCGCGCAGAAGTTACTCGATTAACCAACGATTAAATAATACCTGTCTTGCAGAAAAAACAACGAGTGTCCGATCTCCCAATGTCCAACCTCTGCCTGATCTACCAATGATCTGCCAATGAGTGTTCGGTCTCTCAACGAGCAGCCTCCGCCGCGAACTCCCAAAGCTCAACCAATGAAGAACGACTGTTCGATCGGTAGACGACCGGTTAATCCTGCCACCCTGCCAAAGCGCTGCCGACTAAAAGTAAAGGCTCAATCCGGAAACGGCTACCCAATCATTTACTTCGACAATATCCAAATCTGTGCACATCTACTTCTAACATGGGCTGCTAATCGAATCTTGCAGGCGAAATCATCCCCCGACTGCTTCTCCTTTGGTCTTTTCGAAGCTTCAACGCATCTGATTCCGTAGACAATCAAGCACAGGCTCATGTAAACTCTTCCGTGAATGTATCTGGCCGCGCCTATGGCCAGGTGTATAATATTAATGGATGTTATTATGACCTCCTCTTACTCACGGTCCTTAGTAACCTTTCACTTCATCTCCCGGACTGACTCTCCCTTCACCCTCCCACGCTAACCCTTTCAACTGCGGCCAACTACACTGTTACGAGCAGTCTCCCATTCGCACTAACTTAAGTATATATGTGCGCTATCTGCGACAGATATACAAACTTATTTAATGCAAAAACAACCTCTCTCTTTCTGCTCGCTCACGCACTTTGGCAGGCTGGCTCGCTTACTCCTTTTCGTATGTTGATGCCCACGTAATTGAGCACACTACCTGCACTCAAGGTCTCACCCTTTCGTTCGTTGGTAGATGGGTGAGATCATGCCCCCCCCCCCCCTTTCCTGTTCGACCTACAATCACTTCTCCCTCCCTTGCCCCCACACGCGTGCACACTCCTGCACTCCGTTCACACTCGCAAGCTCTAACACGTTGGCCTTCTCTATTTCTTTACCCTTCCCTTCTCTGCCAGCGCAGTCGCTTCCATCCAATAAGTCACGGATTTTCTCGTCCGTAGCGCATTCACTTTGCTACGATCTCTCACTCACCCTCTCACGATTTCTCCCTTTCATCCTTTAGCTAATTTCTCCTTGACTGACTCTCGTGAACCAGCTACATTCGTCATTCCCAAATGGTACTCGCGAGAGAGATCAAGGCCTTATACACGCTTCTAAGATTAATTAAGCAATTAAATACTTTTGGAAAGACCCTTTTCTCTCTCTCTCATGACATCATACCTCCCGCCTGCCTCCTTTAGCTAATTTCCCCTTGACTGACTCTCGTGAACCAGCTATATTCGTCATTCCCAAATGGATACTCGCGAGAGAGATCAAGGCCTTATACACGCTTCTAAGATTAATTAAGCAATTAAATAATTTTGCAAAGACCCTTTCCTCTCTCTCTCATGACATCATACCTCCCGCCTGCCCTCCGCCAGTCTCTGAGCGGAATTTAGGGAACACCCGCCCGACTCACCACAGTCAATAGGACTGCCTGATCAGGCCCCCAGTTCCGCAGCTCACTGTCTTTCGGTCCGCAGTCGTTCTGCCGTCACCATCTCGCACACTTTATCCCCCAAACTCAACTCTCGAGGCTAATAGCGTACTTGCTCCACACCACACTAGGGTCGCAGCTACGTCGACCGGAGGCTGTTCTCGTCAGCAGCCGTTGCTGCAACATCATTCACCTAACGACCGCGACTGAATGTATTTGCAAGCTCCATATGTCTCCCCTCGTTGGCTGACAGCCAAGAAGAGACGAGTGAAAATCCCTCTTTACGTTATCCCCTTCTTACTTAATCATCTCCTTTGTACTCAACTTACATGACCCTTCCGTAGAACCCTGCCGTTGTGAGAGTATCGCATGGGGGATGTCGACGAGGCTGGCTAACGCTGCCTGCTCCTTGCTTGCTCGTTCACATATTCTTCACTACGCACCCCGTGCATGCGATCCACTCTTGCTCCTATCTCCATCGCCCAGATCGGCCGAAGCAGTTTCCGCTCTCTGTGGCTCATGCATCCATCAACCGGGTCATTTCAGCTCTGTCCAAAGTGTTTGCGAGGACGACGTACACCGGGCGCACTGCCCCCTCCATCCCATCCGTCAGCTGGGGCAAGCGCTCGTATACCGCACATACCATGTGTACCGTTTCCCTCCTGCTGACCGTTCCGAAACGTGTGTTTCCCACAATCTCCAATGCTGACTGAGTACGCTTGGCACGCTCTGAGTCCCCTCCTGTCCGAATGATACCCTCACTTCGCTGATCCGCCCTATATCTCCATGGTACCAGAGGCGGTGGCCTCAAGGGAGCGCCCGCATAGCCAGCATTTACAATGCCAGGCCCGATACCAGGATTGTAGGACCCGTGTGGATACAACGGTACCAGCTGCAGGGCCAGTAAATTTCACAGGTCCAACGTTGTCACCAACCCATTATTACATTTTACCTGGTGACCATACAGCTCCTGCTGTTGGATAAACCGCTGTGAACAGAAAAGTAAGCCTGTACTTGTGCCGAACTAGTGCCCATACCATCGTGATCTCACCGCCATAGACCAAAATAATGGCATCGAACTAGAGAGAGCTACGGTAGTCCCAAATATTGCACCAAGCAACACCTGTGCCGTACCAGTACCAACCCATTGACCGTGCCCCAAAATAACACAAACGATCCAGTATTTGTACCAGGGTCTGCCAAGCTAATGCCATCAAACCGGAGTTAGTCGCGCCAGTCCCAGTCCCGATGTCGTACTTAGTAGCGCAAGTGTTACATGCTAGAGCCCACCAAAACAATAGTACCGTGTCGCGGTACGTTGCACAAATGCCGAACCAGCGTCCATACCCAAAATAACAGAATCGAACTGCAGTTGTAGCGGACCCACCAGGTGTGGTGCTCCGTTTGTGATAGAGATGGAGATGGAGGAAGAAGGGGGGAGCAAGATGCACAGCGCAGCTCCCCACACAAGACTCCAACGCACGTACTCCAAAATGTGCAAGTGTAGAATGAGGACGAAAACAGACAACTGCTGGGGTATACCCCAGCGGACTGACGGGACTGGACTGGACTGGACTGCCCCCGAATAGAACACAGGCCTGTGAGAACAGACCAAGGGGCTGGTCTCACAGGCCAACCAGAGGTCCGCTACACTATCCTCGGCCTGTGATGGATCGCCTAGATGCAAACACGCTCCCGCCAAGAAGCGGAACTCTACCAAAGAAAAAGAAAACCTGAGTAGTCTAGGATGCGGAGCAAGCTCCATGCTGAGTCCATGCGATACAACCTAGGATAGAAAATGTCACAAAACAGCAATGTCACAGCTAACAGCCTAAGTGAAAGCAAAAGTTACTAACTAGCATACATGTCATAGGAAAGCAGAAGCAACTAACTAGCATACATGTCATAGGAAAGCAGAAAGTAGTGACAACTAGATCCTAGAATGTTGGAGGCAGTAGCCTCAGTCTGTGAACAACTGACCAGTGTATAAGTCCTAAGAACAGCAAAAGCAGAACAACTAAATCCTAGAAATGTCAGAGGCAGTAGCCTCAGTCTGAGAGCAACAAAGCAACAACAAGTCAACCATATGTCACAGGAGAAGTGTGTCGCAAACCAAAGGGTGGGATGGTCTCTGAGGGTGGCGAATGCAGCCTAGGGGTCGAAAACTCCTAAGGGCATCCACACATAGTGACAGGGGAAACACATCTCATCAGGCTCAATGAGGGTAGGGAACTGGGAGCAAACAGAACCAATGACCCTAACAGATTGACCATCAGGGCGGGTAATGGTCGACTAAGGGGTGACCGCTATGGAGGGTCGACCATGCAAGGGAACAAGGGAGCCTAGTATACTGGGCGCACCTAGATGAAGCATGCGAGGCTGCCTAACTAGGGCGTGAGGGCCGGCAAAGGGTAGAAAGATGATGGGTAAGAAAATCATGCAAATGACTCCTAAAGTGAGGGAAGTTGGAGCTAGAACCGTAACATGGGAAGCTAGGGCAACGCTACGGTCCCGATGCCTATGCGTATACCAAGGGAGAGCCCAACTCAGAGGACCCGGTTAAAGGGAGACCATCATGCGACATAAGCAGGGTACTGTACAGGGTAAAGTGGTAAGAGAGTGACGACGTCTGAAGTAGGCAGAGCTGATCATGACGAAGTCCATGAAGCTGCCGATGACGTCCACGATGAGAAGTCCGGAATGCTGTCGAGGAAGAGCCGCAACGTCGACGAGCTGAAGTAGCAAAACTGGAGTGGATGGAGTACTGAGAAGTCAAGGACGTGGGAAGGTAAGTCAGAGTCAATCGTCGTATCGAGCAGGACGACGACGAGTGCGCTGTGGATGCTCAAAAGCATCCGGCTGCTGCTGAAGGTTTGCCTCAGATGGAGCAGGCTCGACTTGAACCGTCTCCTCAGTCGGGGGATGAGGAGGAGGGTCAGTGGGCTGAGGAGGAGCAGTGAACCCAGCACGACGAGCACGGTCATAGGCATGCACCAACAATCGAGCGTGCTGCAAGTGCTCGAGGGGCTCCCAGGTAGCCTCCTCATCAGGGTAACCCTTCCAAAGTACGAGATACTCGATGTGGGGAAGGTTGTCGTCGGTTACTCAACGACCAATGATGTTTGAAACGAGGAATTCCTCTTGGCCATCCACCATGATGGGTGGAGGGCACTCGTATGGTTGTCCAGCGAAGCGCTCAAACGGTCTGCGGTAAGGACGCAGTAACGAGACGTGGTAGACATCGTGCACACGAGCCTGACGTAGGTAGTCGGCCAGCTTCACACGGAAGCTGGCCCGGATAGAAGCCGTATCAGAACCGACAGCCTGGAGGATGCGGCATGGGTCAAAGAAGCGATGCCGAAACTTGCGAAGCGTGTCCGCTTCGAGCTGTAAGTGACGGGTGTCGATAAGCACATCATCACCGACTTGAATGGATGATCCATCCTCGATCGGTTCGCACGTGCTGCCATGCGAGTCTGGGAAGCGGCTATGTGCTCATATGCGGTCTTCATGATCGACGTCATGTGTGCAACCCAATCATCCAGCGCGGGACAACTCATGTCAGGGTGCATCTGTGACGGTCGAAGGAAGTCCGCGAGAACACGAGGGTGATAGCCGAGGTCGCAATAGTAAGGCGACATCCCCGTGGCGGGCGAGACGGCGTGGTTGTAGGCTATCTCTGCGTGGGCAAGATTGAGATCCCACTGCTGGTCGTCACGAATGATCTTTCGGAGAATATCTCCGAGAGTCCTGTTCGTGACCTCGGTCTGACCATCAGTCTGAGGATGGTAAGACGAGGAGAAGCGGAGCTGAGTGCCGTACACCTCGTGGAGCCGTCGCCAGAATCGGCTGGTAAAGCACGGGTCACGGTCAGATGTGATACTCACAGGTAAGCCATGGTCACGCACGACTCGGTCAAACACGATGTCGGCGACCTCACGTGCACTGATGGCATAGCGGCACGGAACAAAGCGTGCACGCTTCGTGAAGCGGTCGATGACGACCAGGATAGCATCATGACCGCGGGGGGTCGGAGGTCRAAGAGGACCGATAAAGTCCATCGAGATGGACTGCCAACGACGCTCAGGGTTAGGAAGAGGCTGGAGCAAACCTTAAGGAAGGTGGTTCGCACTGTTCACCTCCTGCCAGGTGGGACACTCTGCGACGTAGTCCTTCACAAAGTCCTTGCGCTTCCGCCAGACGTACAGGCGGCTCACACGAGCCAACGTCTTGTGGAAGCCCATATGACCGGCGGCTGCCTGGTCATGGAACTCTGCTACTGCTCGGACATGTAGCTGTCCAGTGGAGGGAACACAAATACGGGGCTCTTTGGTGCCCTGTGAAACGTGCCAGTACACAAGATCGTTGTCCCCGAGAGAGTAGTTCGGGACGGTCTTGCCACTCCGAAGGGTCGCGTGGATGTCGCGATAGTCTGGGCAGTGGCGATACTGAGTGCGAAACTCGTCGATCATCGAGTGGTGGACGGTGGTGACCGAGATGGAAGAGAGCTGGATCTGCTCCTGGTCGTGGTCAGGGCGCCGGGATAAGGCATCTGCGACCCGATTAGTCTCACCCTTAATGTGCTCAGTGGTGAAACTAAACTCGGATAGGTCGCGCCACCATCGAGCCTGTCGAGGAGTGAGCTTCGACTTTGTCAGGAAAGCCTGGACAACAGAGTTGTCCGTGCGCACCGTGAATGGTGCCCCGTGCAGGTAGTGACGCCAATGCCGAGTGACATAAACTACTGCGAGAACCTCACGTTTATCAGCACTGTAGTTTATCTCGGCGGGCAGGAGCTGACGGGAGTAGAAGGCTCTCAGACAATCACCTGAGTGAGACTCGACAGTGCCGTCCTCGACGATGGTAGGAGAATAGTCAATAGAAGGCTCGTCAGTAGCTGGACGAGTAGGCGTCAGTCGGGAAGCAGTGGTAGGGGTAGGTGGTGGGAAGCGAGGGATACGAGGGTGAGAGGAATCAGGAGAGGAGGGGAAGACCTGAGAAAGCATTGCTCCTACAACAAAGTCTGACGCATCTGTGGTAAGGATAAAAGGGCGATCAAAATCGGGTAGGTGAAGAACCGGTGCGCATGTCACCGCCTTCTTGAGGGCGCGGAAGGCGTCCTCGTGGAGGGGTGTCCAAGCCCATGGTGGGTTCTTCTGGAGGAGGGTGGAGGTAAGGACGTAGGAATACCTAGCGTATCCCTGGATGAAATTACTATAGTAGCTGGTAAGGCCTAGGAAGCTGAGAAACTGCTTGGCGGATGTGGGGACGGGCCACTCCACAATAACAGTGATCTTCACGTCGTCCATGTAGAGAGCTTGGTTAGACACGTAGTGTCCTAATAAATCCACTTTGTGCTGGGCAAAGCGGCACTTGCTCAGCTTGGAGTAGAAGTCATGTCTGCGCAAGCGGTCAAGGACGTCGCGGAGGTGTCTGAGGTGCTTCTCAAGGGTACGACTGTAAACCAGGATATCGTCGAGGTAGACGAGAACATACTGCTCCAGGATGTCCCTGAAGATGTCGTTCATCGCCCTCTGAAAGGTAGCGGGTGCGTTGGTCACCGTAAACTCGTAGTGGCCGAAGCACAATCGGAACGCGGTCTTTGACTAGTCGGCTGCAGCGGCGCGGATCTGATGGTAACCGCTACGAAGATCAATCTTCGTAAAGAAGCGGTTGCATGCTAGGCGGTCGAACAGCTCATCGGAACGAGGCATGGGGTAGCTGTTCTTAACCGTGTAGTGGTTGAGACCGCGGTAGTCGCTGCAGAGTCTGTAGGGTGCCTCGGGGATCAAGAGTCTGTAGGGTGCCTAGTGGTGAACACGATAGTGAGGCACAAGCTGGATGGAGTGCTCGACGTCGCGCATCGGTGGGATGCCAGCGTACGAGAACGACGATGGGAAAACGTCGTGGTATTCTCGAATGAGGTCACGAACTGCGGGCTGCAGGTCAGCCATATATCGTGCGAGTTCCTCAGCGTCAGCGTCAGCGCGCGACGGCGGGGTGGACTCGATGGACGGTGGGGGGACAGAAGTAGAGATGGGAGCCATGGAGATAGAAGGAGGATCTGGCTCCAGAGGGATGAGCTGGACGTCGGGACTGGGTGGATCATAGTGTAAGAGATCCGTCACATTCACCATAAAGAAGGTGATGTCGTCCTGTCGGATGAAGTGGGCGAACTGCCGAGGCGAGGTGACATTGATAGAAGGAGGTGGTGTGGGCACGGAAGGCTCCGGGGGAGGAGGATCGGGGTGTGGTATCGCGGTGGTACCGATAAAAGGTACGCGATACGTCTGTCCACACTTCGTTTTGAGAACGAGAGTGTTGGTCACCCAATCGGCCTCGGTGCTGCGGAACCGACGAGATCACGAAGTGCCGAGAATGAAGTCGTACCCCGTCTCCATCACATCGAAATGTGCAAAGGAGCGGTGGCGACGAGATGCCGGGGAACGATCAGTCGGCTCGAGAGTGAGGAAGAAAGGGAGGTCGGTGACCGTCTCATCGAAGAAGCGTTGGGTCTTGTCATCTCCTAGGGTAACGGAGATGGGAGTCGGAGACCCTGTCGTGGGTAAGCGAGCTTCTTTCACTACGCGTGGGTGAATGAAGTCGCCCTGAGAACCGGAATCCCACAGCACTGAGTACACCCTCGTGGAGGTCCCGAGTCGTACTGGGATGATTGGGAGGGTGCGATCAGGGTGAGAGAGGATGGTGAGAAGGCGACGCAGGGTAGGGACATGGAGGGTGAGTCGCTCCTTACGAGCCTGGATCATGCTCAAGTCCAGAAGAGAGGACACAACGTCCTCGCGAGTCGCAAGCTGCTCGCTGCAACGGGCTGAGCGAATGGCTAGACGCGTCGGTAGTCGCGGCGGGGAAGGAGGGGAGACGGTGGTCTGCGGAGGCGCAGACGGTACTGCAACAGAGGGCTGAGTACACTCTGTCGAGTCCTGCGATAACTCAGCTCCAGTAGCAAGAGGGGTGAACCGCGACGGAGATTTCGGGAAACCCACTAATGACGAGGGCGCAAGTGTACACTGCACCATGGCTAGGAGGCGCCGCGAGGATGAGAGGCGCCGGGGGGGGACTGAGCACGATGCTGGCGGAAAAGGTCAGCGTAGTGGCGGTCGAGGGCGGTAGTGTCAGGGCACCGCGAGGAGGTATGACAGTCCAAGTGGCAGCGCAAACATCCACGTCGACCCAAAATAGCCACGCGCTCCTCAGCGGAAAGGACACCGCGAGGAGGGACAAAGCCTTGAGGGAGGTCCTGCTGAGGGACCTCGGGGGGCGACGCACCAGCGTGACCAGGGCGGCTACGTGCCCGGAAAAGGGTGGAGAGGATGAGCTGGAGGCGCTCAGCCATAGGGACAGTAGGGTCCTCCAGGTGGTGGTGGACGGCCTCGCCAAGGTTGAGGTCGTCGCTATGGTCACCCTCTGGCGACAGCGGGGCACCAGCGTCCTGCTCACCATACTCGAGCGCGCTGAAGCGGCGCGAGAAGTGGCGGCCCTACTGCGCGGAACGGCGGAGGCGACCGCGGAAAGGGGAACGGCGCTGGGAAGTGCCGTGAGAGGAGGAGGAGGCGTAACCAGTACGTTGTGGATGGGAGGAGGAGGCGGGGTGAAGACGGGCCTGCATCCGCTGATGGTCCCTAGCGGCCTCGTAAGCCTGCGGGGCCGATGTGAACTCGTACCGCCATAGCTCGGAGCGGTACTCGAGCGGAAGGCTGGCCAAGAAACGATCGATAAGGGCCGCCTCAGGGAGGAACGCCATGTCACAAATGAGGCGGGCGTCCTGAAAGACCTGGATGTGACGATCCAGGCCGGCAGCGCCACCAGAGCCGGACCAGCGTGTAGTGACGACACGCTCGAAGGCGTCAGTCACGTCATATCGGGCTCCGAAGCGATCCTCAAGGAACGCCTGGAAATCCATGAAGGTCGGAGTCCGACCCGCACGAACGGAGTAAGCGTAGAAATCATCCCAGGCATCGGAAGGACCGCCACGCAGGCGCGTGGAGAGGTGAGTCACCCACGTGCCGGGTGCGGCACCCATGAGCTGGAGTGTGCGGGTGGCAGACTGTAGCCACCGACACACGCGTATGCCTGTACCGTCATACAAGGCAATGTCCGTCAAGCGGACGAGTGGTGCACCGCCGTTTTGGCGGCGAGGAGAATGGGAAGCAGGGGACTGCGCTATGGCTGAATAAGTCGGCGCAAGTCTTGAAGGAGGGGGCGCAGCTGACCGTACGCCCGGGCCGCATGGTGGAGCGGCGGGGGAAACAGCGGCAGGCTGCAGGGGAGCTGCGGTAGAGGAGGTCACAACGACCGAGGGGATGGGGAGGAGGTAGGATTTGGATGGGTAGGGTGTAGGGTGAGGGAAGCGAGCCTGCATGGAAGGGGGTGCGCCGGAAGGCGCGGCCACCTGTGAGGGTGGGGGTGGCTGAAGGCGTAAGAGGGCGAGGTTGGCCCGGAGCTGGGCAATCTCGTCCTCGAGATCTCGAACGTAGGTCGTGCGAGGGGTAGCAGGAGAAGGAGTGGGGGAAGTGGACGCACGAGCGGCGCGGGGCATCCCAGAGGGGGGAGAGCCAGGTGGCGCTGCGGTCGTGCGGAGGGGAGGGAGAAGCGGGTCACCCGGAAAAGCTGAGACCATGGTAGCGGGTTGTTGTACCGTGGCCCTAGTGACCGGGGTCTGGGCGGGTGCGCCCGTTGACTGAGGGAGGGCCCGGCTCATGGCGGCCGTCGTGCTAGGGGCGTGGACAGTCACTAAGATGGCTGGGTCGGGGGCGGCGGAGGAGGAAGTTCCACCGTGGCCACCCTGTCGGAGAACGGGGGATTCGGACTGGGAGCCAGGAGATGAAGGGCAGGCAGCGTCCTGGAGTTGCTGCATGCCGGCGGCAAGGGTCGCCACCAGCGGGTGTAAGGGCGCAAGGATCGCGAGTTGTGCCTGAATGGGTGCGAGGAGGGCAGTGATGAGGGTGTGTAGATCCCCCTGGGCTGGTGGCCCTGGTCCGTCGGCACGGGTGTGGACCCCTGTGTCGTGGTCGTCGCCTCGTCGGCGGCGTGTGACACACCGTCGGCCATGGGGAGGTGACGGACCGGACTGGAGGGGGCCAGGAGAGGTCCACGTGAGCGGAGGGCGTAGGGGGGGATCCGCGGTAGAAGGCGGCGGACGGCGCTAGCAAGGCTGGCGCGGGCGCCGTCAGAGGGAGAGAAGTGGTTCGGGTCCAAGGTGCCCGAATAGGAAGGGGAGTAGGGGGGGTTTTGACGAATCCTAAACCTTAGAAAAACCCTAAGAAAACCCTAACCGGAGTTTGAGTGGTTAGGGTACGGTGCCGGTGACCATATCAAGAAAATAAAATAGCAAGCATTGGGGGGGGGGAAGGCGGAAGAAAAATAAATAAACAATGAGATTTCGAGAGAAAATAAAAATAGATAAGGGAATAAATAAATAATCAAAATAATTAAAAAAATAAGTAAAAAGATATGAAGAGAAGAAACAATATTTTTTTTTTTTAATTTTCGGCAGCATTTCCTTACCCCCCATGGGGTCAAGAATGTGCCAAGGGAAAAGGAGAGACCAAGGTGAGCATACTAGGTTTCAAGATGCCGCATATAAAAAAAAAAAATCAGAAAATAAATAAAGAAATAATAAATAAACAGATAAATAAATAAATATGTAAATAAGTGGGTGAGGAGGTGTGGGGTATCTGATTTTTTAAAAATTTTGGCAGTATGTCGTCACCCCTATGGGGTCGAAGTGTGCCGAAAAAGACTAAGTAAGAGAAAATCAAAAAATTTCGGCAGCACTTCGTTACCCCCACGGGGTCAAAACGTGTGCCGAAAGCAAAAAGGACTAACACCTAATCAGATTTAGGATTGCCGTAAAGAAAATCGAATTTTCAGAATAAATAGAAAACTAAATAAAATAAATCAGAAAATAAGAAAAGAAGGTGGGGAAGAAGATAATTCGAATTTTTGAAAAAAAAAAAGAAAGGGTAAATCAAAAGAGAGATAGAAAGAAGAAAAACAGAAAAAATTCGAAGTAGGGGGGAAGGGGAATGAAAAAGTGAAGGAGAAAAGAAAGAAATAGGTGGGGGAGAGAAAAAGATGAAGTGGGAGGTAGGGGGATGGTGTGGTGGTAGTTGGGGGAGAGGAGGGATGGGGAAAGGTGGACAGGGATCAAGAAGCAAAGAGAAAAGGAGAAAATAAAAGAAAAGAAATAAAGAAAGGAGAGTAAAAGAATGGGTGGTGGGAGAAAGGTGGGGTGGGGAAGGTAAAAGGAGGAGAGAAGAGATGCAGTAGAAGGTGGGGGAAAAAAAAGGGGTGAGTAAGAGGAGAGAGGAAAGGTAGGGAGAGTGGGTTAGTAGAGGGAGAGGGGAGAAGGGAGTGATACCTGGCCCTTGGTGTCTCCAAGGGCACAAGGTACACCAAGACCAGGAGGGTCTTGGCCTTCACTGCAGCACGCCAGCTGGAGTGAAGAGGGGGCTGATATCTTGATCAGCCTCTACCAGCAACTGTTCTGCAGATCTGCAGATCTAGGGTCTGTTGTGTGAGCAGAGCCTCACCA